CTCCCTGAATAACACTTTTTCTTTCTTAACAAATAAATTCATACAAAATTTTTAGTTTTCTGGGACCTTGATTGGCTTCAAAGTTGCATAGATTTTCTTGACAGTCCCATAGATCTTCATGCAAGTCATTTGGTCCAAAGAAACTATGGAAACCCCATTTGTATATGCCAATCAGAAGCAGAACAGCACTGTTAAATAAGTTGTATGGAACCAGATTTTAGATGTTCTCTCGAGATCTGAATGTTCGGTTGTCTGTTGTATATGCAGAAGTTTGGCTAGACGTGCAACGAATAGATCTTTTCGAAGACATTGAGAGAACAATGACCGGTGTAGTCGATTACTCCACTGGACACATCTATAGCATTGGTGAGATTTGAGTAACCAATAATAGTAGTGTTTTTTGCAGTCATTTCTATTTTTTAGCAAAGGATGCTACCATTCTCTTTACTGGTGGTTCATTTGCAAATCATGAAGCTATCAACTCTGTGTTCCGCAGCATCTGCACAGCGCGAGCGGCAGCTATTGTCAAGGTCAGTGGACTTTTTATAGACAGTAGTTGGTGAAGATCAATCAATTTGCATTTACACTCTCGTATTACATTATTTTCTTGATTACGGTGTTTAGCCACATGCAGGTTAAAACGTCTTATCTTAGTTTCCAGAAGATTTATATAGAAAAGGAAACGCAAAGTAGTGCTGTATTATGTCATCGATTTTGAGGTTTTTCTCCTAAGGGGATCAATATTTCTTGGCTTTTTTACTTTTCCCAAGTTGATAGTGTTCACTTCAAAAGTGTGACTTAAGTCACATAAGGATGTACTGAATTAAGTATCTTGTCTTAACAGAACTTGCTTTTTAGAAGAAATTGATCTCGTGTTTATTTAATCCTCTACTTAAACCACCTCTACTCTTTTCTGGAGCTCCTAAGTGCACACGATTTCCTCGCTTTGTGTTCTTCTGTCGTTCAAAAAATTTTCCCTCGTTGAAGTCATATTGCACCATT